GGTTGTGAGTTCTCGATTCCCAATTGTAACCAATTAATCTTCAAGGAAGTGAAAAGAATGGCAGAAAACTTGGATAAATCGGGAGGAGAAAAAAGGTTAAAGGTCATTTGCATTAAAAACCGTGCAGTGGCGGGGAATTTCGGTGACTCCAGGCTTCGACCGGTGCAGATCTGAGCTTGGCTGTCCTACAATTATTGGGGCAAAGGGATTGTCAGAAGGGCAGTAAAAGTTGCGGCTTCGACAATATTTTATTTGGAGTGGCTATGGACAACGAAGGGTCACAAAGGTGCTGGAAAAGGCTGGATTCCGAAGGGAGGGTGGGTGTACTTAGAAATTATATTGTTATAAAGGACAAAATTAAATATGTGGTGATGTTTAGCCTTCCGGCAACTAATCTCCTTATTAATTTTATAGCCTACCTACTTTGAATCTCTGTCGTCGAAAATTTTACGTGTATCATCGACTATGAAAACAATCCAAATCCCTCAAATGTTCGACTTTTTGAAACTAGATTTTTTGTTTCTGAACATGCTAGTGTTTGAAAATGGAAAGTTGCGTTTCCATTAGGATCATGTGGCTATAATTCTATGCATGATTGTACATGACCTTAATCCATGAAAATTATAAATAGATACAAATGAATGGTAAAAAAGTGAGTAGTATTTGTCTAGGCTTGGGTATTTTAACCAGAACCGGACCTTCCCAAAAAATAAAGTAGGAACCGAAATCGAAAATCGAGAACCAATTGGGTTCAGGTAGGTTCTTGGTTCTCGAACCATAACCGTGGGTATCCAAATGGAACCAATATTTTTATTATTTTTTTTGTTTTTTACAATTTATGGGTTGGGTAATAAGAATATAAAATATAAAATTCCAATTTGGGTAGAAATTTGTATAAAACTCTAGATTCTAATCCTAATAAACCTCTATTTGATGTGCATTATTTATGAAAAATAATATTTTGAATATAGATTTTTAGGAAAATTTGTAGTTAAAAAGTAGGAAAGAATTTTGGATTTACGTGCAGAATATTTTATTGTGTGAATGTGTTATTGAAAATAAATATATAGAAAAAATAGTTCAAATAATGGCAATCAAACAGGGGCTAAATCAAGCAGGCTCCTACTTTTTTGCCTCTCGTCTCATATCATATTATTGCATTTTAGATGTTAGTGTATGTTAATCTTTGTCATTTGGGCTCCTATGGATCAAAAGTTATAGTTGTAATGTAAGTTGATGAATCAAAACGTTCATAATTTGTAATTCGAGTTTTTTATTTTCTTACATTGTTTACAAACTTAAGTGATATTTTTTTTAGAGCGTGTGGCAATTGAACTTAATATATTCATAGCTCACGCTGTAATGTATCTTTTTGGTTATCTCGAGTGATTATCTTTTATAATACTATTCATTTTTATTCAAATGAATCGAGTTCAATATATGAATTGCAATTTCTTGATACTACATAATTATGCATATAATTCGTAATTTTTTTTTATGTGAGTTCATTTTACGAATAGAAGAATTTAAGTATTGTCCATCATTAAATTATAGGTTCTAACATGCCTTACTTATGGACCAAATAAGATTTATTAGGAAAAAAATCATTTGTCCTCAAGCTGTAATTTACTTCTTGATGGTATTTAGTCTTCACTATCTCGAATCATGCATCTTGATTTCTTGAAAAAAAATTTAGCTTAATTTTCTCATTGCATAAATATTGTCGAGAAGTAGCGTGTTAGGTATACATATCGAAATATTATATATGAAAATATTTATTAAATATGTATAAAAAAGTATTATGATTAGAACTAAACCTGAATCTTATAATTATAAGGAATCAAATTGTTCCATTTATGAAATACCTGAAATAATAGGTGATTCCAAATATTGAAATACCCGGATTGACCCAATTGACCCCATGCCTATATTTGTGAGGACCAAAAACTGTATAGACAAAGAGTAAAAAGTAAACTACCAAATATGCTTTGGTTGAAGATTGATCATGCGACTATGATAGAAGCTTTTGACATATTTAGATTAGATGCTCTCTCCATATGCACATATTTGTGTGTATACGCGCGTCCACCTTTTTACTCTTATCTTTTTTTTTTTTTTCAAATGTCTCTCTCTTTTTTATTTTTTAAAATCTTTTATAGGATTTATTGGTAGAGATTGCGAAAATAGAGGCTAATTCAATGAGCAAATTAATAGCACAAGCTACTAACTAATATATGAAAAAACCACGTGGATGTACTATAAATTACAACATTTGAGTTTTCCTTTCTAAAAAGTATTCAAGAATTTTCTTCGATCATTTATTTAATTTTTGGTTTTAATGTATAGTATCTAATATAGTGTAAGACAATAAACATTAATATCTCTATTTAAATATGCTTCGAGTAGTCTTGAAAGATCAAATATTATGACCAATAAGGGTTGTGGTCCAATTCAATTCAACATGATTAAATTTGATAGAAAAAATCAGTCTGGTTGATTAAACATAATAATCGCACAACTTATAGGATGTTGTACCTAATTGTGCATAATTGCAATGAGAGTTGGACCATTTGACATGTTGATCTTTTTGTAAAGTTGTAGGAGCCGGCTCAAGTATTATTTGAATTAGGTAGTCGCCTAAAGACTTTATGCCTATGTTTGGTAGGGATTTTGCCTAAGGCTCCAGATTACTCGAATTGTATTTAAAGGTTGCCCAAATGATATATTATTTGTTAGTAATGGATCATACATATCCCAAGAAAATGAATTAGGTATTCGATACTTATATCTTTAAGAATCTTTCGCCCCTTCTTTTAGAGCTATAGATTTAAAAGTTAATTTTCTATATTATACTATTGATGAGAAAATTTGGATGGACTAAACTCAAAGTAACATACATCTTCATATAAAACTTGTATTGATATTTGAAAATTTTGTAGTAATAGTAAATATTTGATTCATGTGTGAATTGTATCTGAGTAATCAAAATATTTATATATAAAAATTATTTTCTAATATAATCAATAACTTATTGATAACTTGAATTACTTCACATAAAGTCATGAACTAAGTTATATTTTCTATAATTTGAATTCATGTTTGGACTTTCAAAGTTTTATTGACTCGAATTGGATTATTGAAGTTATACCATCATCATATAAATCTAAATTTTAATATTGCTTAAATACATTTGATTAATAAGTGCGTATGTATTAACAAAATGCTAAAATTAAGGGTTTTATGTATTATTGTGAAAATTCGACTAAACCTAAACTTCATTAAGCATTGTTGACGTCGAAAATTGTAAGATCAAAATTCAAGCCAATTTCAAATGTAAATCATGATTTTTATTGATAATTACGTATGAACTACCAATGTTTTTATCAAAGAAGATATTTGAAATATCAAATTCTTGAACCTTCGCTTTTTTAGGATTCTGCCCCCCTTTTGTAGGAAAATACATGCATGTATCTTTCGCATTCCTGTTTTGTCAACAATAGTGATGAGTTGGGAACATGTGCCAATGACTTAAGTCCTGATTGGTTATCAATTCAACATACAATACCGAACTGGGAAAATACGTCAACGACATATTCCTATTGGTTGTTGAGGTAGGCTTCATCGGGCATTTACGAAACTGACTTTAAATGGGGTCCCCCGTAATTAATGAATGGATTAGAGAATGAAGCTATAACATATGATTGGTGGAATTGGTGGGCGCTAACGTAATTCCTTCTGAATATCATTAATTGATTGAATGTTTTGACAACGTGTAAGAAATCTACAATCATTAAGTCCCCTTCAAACCACGACGGTCATAAGTACAAGCCGACCTTGCAAATTCAACCTTAATTTATTATGAACTAAGTGCATATAACAAACGATTTTAATTAGGTCACAGGTCGGATGTCAACAGACATAATTTCCGTTAAATTGTTTTGTTCTGATAAAAGAAATTAGTTATTAGTCCAATAATTTTAAGTGTTGAGAATCTTTCCCCACTTCTCTTGAAGCAAATACTTTATTGTTAAAGTCATTTTTTCATATTATATACACGTAATGTGGAATTCCAATAGCTTAAAATTTTGAACAACAAATTCAGACTAAATTTGAGGTAGTACATCGAATGAGAAAATCCCTTGCTTGTTGGATTGGCAAAGATATTGCAAGATAGGTAAGATTGTGGTTAAACATTGACTTTTGTTTTAAATCAAAAATAGAAAATAATTTTGATGGACAACGTGTAAAAGTTACAAAGAAGTTAGAGACAATAATTTGTTTTATAGTATTTTTTTTTTCAAAATAAGAATAATGTTTGATAAAATGAATTATCTGATATAATAATAATATTAATCTTGTACATTATTGTTTTGTGCTAAACCTACTTTATTTCCTATAATATGTCAAGTAATTTTAAAATCATTGTAAAAGTCAAAGATTATTCGACGCAACATTTATGTATGCAAATGTTTGAGTCTACATATACATACAAAATCTTAATTGCATGACTCTATATATTCATTTCTTATATTTACTTTACTTTTAATCATCCGAACAAATATTTCTTATGAAACTATAAAGAGTAAAGCTATTGAGATTTATATTTAAAGAGAAATGCTACATGTATTTGGGTGGTAGAATGTAGATGTGTCAAGATTTCATAGGTTAGCGAGGCGATAAATTTGGATGTATAAGTTCTGATATTTAAAAGGAACGAGAGAAATTAATTATGCTACATTATTAGAAAAGTTGACATAATGTCGTATGATATTTTATCATTATACTATTTAAAACACAGTCATTTTTTTCATCCAATTATTTTCTATCACCAATTCATCGTCACAGTATCTAGCAATTCTTTCTGGCAAAGTAACGTAATTCACGAGAAATTTGGAAGAGAGGTTAGGTTGAATCTTTTTTTGATACTTTGATCGTCCATAATAAATATTCAAAAAATAAAAAATAAAAAAATTTGAATAAACAATAAAACAGAAATAATTATGAGAAAAATAAAACGAAATTTTAAAAGACAGAAATACCAGACTGGTGGTGCGCTGCCAATTCTCTCTCTGAGCCTACCATCCCATCCCCTTCCCTTCCCTTCCCATCCCATCCCATCCCAACCCACCACTCACCAACCACCGATCTCTGCCGCCGTACCTCTCTGGTGGCGTAACTACTTCAGCCACTACACCCGTTGTCTCTCTTCTGTTCCCTTTCAAGACAAAAAGGCAAGTCCATCCACGGTAAACACGCGCACAGGTATGCATCTGTTTACGTTCATAATTCCGTTTCTACAATTATATTTTGTTTTGGGGTTTGATTTTCTACAATTCTGTACTTTTTTGTTTTACATAAAAGGGTGATCGGTTGATACAGAAGTTCAGTCTCATTAAATTTTGTCGATGAACATTTTAATTTTGAGATTTGCGGGGATTGTACATGTTGTTGATTTAAATTCTCCTTTTTCTGAGTATTTGGTGCATTTACGTGCTTGATTAGCCAGTATACTTGCGTATTAGGTTGAGATTTTATTATCAGTAACTAAATATCTGAGTCCATGTCGTTGATTGCTGAATTGTCCAGAAAATGATCAAACTCATATCATCCATGTTGCACAATGTGTCCATTTCCACCTTAACAGAACTGACAAGTTCTGGGATGGAATATGACCTGTATCTTTCGGTTCCTTTTTTAATATTATAGAAATATGGGGTTAATAATTTTTCTTTTGTATGCAATTGATAGTATGTTCCGAATCTTCAGTTTCATCTTCTGTGGATAATAAAATGTTCGGAGTAGGTGAAAACAGTCAACTAAAACTGAAAACTTGAGAAGGAAAGTTTGAGTATTCCATGGAACAATGAAATCAAGCAAATGAACACACACAAAAACGATTAATGTGGCTATACGTATGTGATTATCTGTGAGCACTTTGTGAGCTTGACTGATTGATTGGGTAATTTTTCATGAAGATCGTGAAACTTTTGTTACAATGGATCGATCTGGATTTTTCTTCCTATGAATGAAATTTCTTTCTTTACTTTTTTTCCTTCTTCGGATGCTTTATTTCTCAGATTCCTTTCTTCTTTTGGGATCAATCAGCTGAATTAATTTTATAAAATATTAATTCTATTATGCTCACTAGATTCTGATTAAACCGGTAGTTTTCTGCAACTATGGGCATTATAATTTTGATACTCAGCAGATTGCATGGAGCTAGACCTACCAATAAGCACTGCAAGGGTGCAGTAACCTGTCCATACAAGAAAGTCATTGCTTTCCCCTATCGGCAAGCATCTAGTTCATAAATTTTACCTGACCTATAAAAATTCAGTTGACTATTTGTTTTCTTACTTTGCAAAACTAGTTTCTCTGTACTCTTTAAAATTTATAGGATTGGTTAATCTTTCCGGGGCTCATAAATTCGATGGGGACATTCACCTAAGATTGAGCATAATGGAGAAACAAGTTGATCATCTCATCCTGGATTATTGGGAATTTTTCATTGGCTTGAATGGTCGAACCTTTACGTCATTTTGGAATTGATAAACTAGTAATTGTTGTAGTTGTGAAGATTGTAAAAGATAATTTACCAATTTGTTATGCAGGCTACTTATTATGGTAGGTTTTCATCTGGATCGTGGATAATTTGGTCCTGAGCTTCTGGGAAATCCATACTGTTAGATATTCCACCAATCACCAGTTTTTGTGAACAATATGCAAAATAGTGTGAGTCCATCCAATAATAGTTCTTTGAGACTGCCATCTCAGCAGTCTCTTCGTCGTCTGGGACTTTGTCCTCGAATTGCAAGTAGACAGCAAACATCCCCAGTAGTCTTTCCAGAAAAACGCAGTAGAGGAAAGACTGCTAAAGGAGGCAGCGTTGGTAACAAAAATGAGGATCCTAAGAATGCTAAGAGGGGGGAACAAAGGATTGATATTGGAGATGAGGAGTCTGATTTACTAGGATATGAGGTATTTGCGGGAAAACTGGCTTTGGACAAAAAGAAATACAATAAGAATGCCGAGGCGCAAACATCAAAAGAGAATGCTAGCCTGGATGCTGTTGATGCTAAACTGACAAGCAAGGCGTTTATCTGGGGTTCTGAGATGTTGTCCCTCGAAGATGTGATTTCGGTAGATTTCTTTAGATTTATTGTTAATTTTATATTACTTTGTGCTTTTCTCCAATCTGGTCCTGATATCTATATATTTTTCCTTTGGCAGTTATCACACTGTGTTGGACTGAGACATTTTACAGTGCATGCATATCCTTGTCGAAAAGGTTCATGTGGCATTTTTTTGAGACATGGGAAAAGTCGCAAAGACTATCGCTTCATAGCGTCCACCTCTGAAGATGCACTTCAATGGGTTAATGCATTTGCAGATCAGCAGTTCTATGTAAATTGTTTGCCTCATCCTATGGCTTCTAAGAAGCAGGGTTCAGATTCTATTTTCAGTGAATTCCCTCCCGAGTCATATATCAAATGTAAAAGTCCGACGAAAATGCTTGTAATTTTAAATCCTCGTTCTGGACGTGGACGTTCAAGTAAAGTATTCCATGGCTTGGTTGAACCCATATTCAAAGTAAGTTTTTCTGGTATTATAGTTTTTTCAGGTCTTTCCTGAGCATCTGTTTAAAGATTCTGTCGTGGTGTTTTTTGGATGTAAAGAATTCTATCTTATGTCCCAATCCCACGCTGCTCTTGATTTTTTCTTTCGATCCACTCGTGTGACTGACTTTGCACTCCTCCACGTGCACTAGGTTTTATTTGTGTTCTCTTTTATTATTAGTGCGTTCAGTGAAACATTTAATATACATATTGCTTTGCCACTTAATTCATTTATTACCTTGCTTTTGTTTAATGATTCTCTAATGCAATTATAAGGAGAAGCGTGTCTCCTTTATGCACCATAAGTTGTCAATCACCTTTTCTTCACCTCTAAAGAAAGCAAATGGACAATTTATCTGAGATTTTATTCCATTAGTTTCTTTGTATAAATGACAGTCTTTTTAGCATCATGTAGTGTTTGAATCAATGGAAAAAATTTATAGGATGTTTAATTTTCTTGAAGGTGTGCAATCTATCGGCGAACTATTGACATTGATGCCCTTTATGGTGGCCTCTCATTGGCTTTCATATTGAATATTTGAACTCTTGGCTTCAATTTTGATGCTTCATTAAGTGAAATTACATACATACTTGTAAAACAAGAAAGTTTTGGTGAAAGTAGTGTGAAGTATTAATAGAGTTGCGTTGGATCAGGTCAGAACACCTGGAGTGTTGAGGCTTCTACTTTGAATTTGTAAGTTCGTTGATTATGGAAATTGAATAAAAAAATTGGGTTCTGGCTCTTTTTTTTTTTATTTTTTTACTTGTCTGCTTCTACGCCTCATGAATACAGAAGCATAAATATATTTGGTTGACCTCTGAATCAAATTAGATGTTTGATGTTTCATAATCTTAAAATTAATTCCCGTATTAGTAATGAATTTATAGGAAATAATTAGATTAGTTTGTTACCGAATCCACTCTTTTAACTGGATTCCTCTTTCAGACCTGTTTCCTTTATCCATATTTTTGGCCTTTTCATTTTGTAGAGTACTCGATAAGATACAAGATTTAATATTTTTTTTGTAAATCATATGCAGTAACATATAATGTTACCTATAAAGACGAAGTATTTTCAGGTTTAAGTTATTTCTGTGTTTCGAGATTCTATCCATTTGGATATCGTTTATCCTTTTTGGCATAAATCCAATTCATCAAGATAAATCGACTGAAAATTACTGAATAAGAAAAAAAAGAAAGAAGCATAATTTCTTCCTCTTTTCTGAATATAGAGTTTTATCATAAAATGTGAACATAAACAACAATGTACGAACTAATCCTTTCCAAAATCGATCAATATTTAATAAATCTCTATCTAAATATATCTTTTGGCTTCTGCCACCTGAGGAACTCCCAAGAGGAGCAAAATTATTGTTAGTGCTTTGCTGCTACTTTTGAAGCGTGGTAGAGAAAAAGTCTTACTGTCTCACTTTGTCTCCTTCCTTAGAATGCGCTCACTAAAATTTCAGATTGAACCTTTTGTTGCTATATAGAGTGTATGAGAGGTCAAATAATGGAAGGCTAAGCTCACTGAGCATGACTCCACATATATTTGGGTGAGAAGATAACATTAGATGACAATCCAAATATGTCCTGCATGTCTCGGTAATCTGAATACTTGCACTGATGGAAAAAAAACTTGGTTACTTTTTCGGGGCGGGGATCAATAGGTGGAAGTCATTAAAAGAGATCTTCTCTTTCATTCACTCTGTAAAGATAAAATATAAATTACACATAGTGAAGGGATGAAATCAATGTTTATTTGGTTTATGTTATTTGTACCTGAAATGCAATGTTGGGTTAAATAGACAGTTCCTGTATCTTATATTTTGTTGCAAGATTAGTTTTTTTTGTTGCAAGATTAGTTAATTAGTATTTGATGATATGCTTTGCAGCTGGCTGGATTTGAGTTAGAGGTGGTCAAAACTACATCTGCTGGTCATGCTAGGAAACTTGCAGCTAGTGTTGACTTCAGTACATGTCCTAATGGTACTCTACGATTTTTTTCCTCATGGTAACTGTTCAATCTGGTTTTCTTGATGTGTTCGACTACCAATTCCATGATCTATGTGGTTTCAGGTATTATATGTGTTGGAGGTGATGGAATCGTGAATGAGGTTTGTAGAACTCACATTTCTATTCATGCTTGTTAATTATGTTCTATGACGAGGGAAGCAATTTGTGCAAATTTGGTTATAGTTGTTTGGTTGAAATTTTGTTGATTCTAGCATACTCAAAGGATATTGGTGATTCAAAACTTATAAGTGGAATTGATTGTCATAACGTGGAAATAACCTTCGCCAAGCATTACATACCAAAGAGTTCTTTTGATTTCCAAGCATTATTCACCATTTTGCGTCAGAGGGTTATTAATTTTTATTGTTAGTATTGTTTATTCTGTTTTCGAAGGTTTAATAATAGCTTTAGTGAGTGACAAGTGGAGCAACAATGTTCCGCCTTTGTCCATCAAACTGTCATGAAATTCTTATCCATTATGGCATTTGAGTAGGACATCTTTTTAGCTTATGCACGCTGTACTTGGAGGTATCAATTAGATGATAATATCTACATAAAGGTGGTTTGTTGATGCTGGCGACATCAATGAATCTATTTTTGTGATAATTTACTTTGCCAAACTGCCAAATGTTTTATCGTATTACCATGCAAAATTCTGGCTGAATTTGATTATTACTTATGTTTCAACCCTTGAACAGTTTTTTTTAAAATTCTGTATCCTTCTTACTTGGTTGAAATCAAAATGCAGGTTTTGAATGGTTTACTTAGTAGAGACAACCAAAAGGAAGCAATTTCGATCCCGATTGGAATTATTCCTGCAGGTTCTGATAATTCTTTAGTTTGGACTGTTCATCGGGTTAGAGATCAAGTTTCTGATGCAATAGCTATAGATAAGGAACTTTGTTTGTGTTGATCCTGTATCCTTTATGAGAGACTGCACTAGTTCTTGGGGTTAGAGATCCAGTATCTGCTGCAATAGCTATAGTTAAGGTACTTTGTTTGTGTTGATCCTGTATCCTTTATGTGAGACTGCACTGTTGTACCTTGAGGCTCTAGATATTTATGATGGTAAGATTTTCTTTTTTATATTTGCTTCAGCCTTCAATGCATTTTTAATGAAGTTAGTTGATAAAAAGATGACAAGCTTTAAATTAAGGTCATTTACTGAATTTTAAATGAGGAGCGACAATATTATATCCTGTCATAAAGTGTTAATTAAAATGAAACATTCAAATAATTAATAAGCTAAAGTCAAACATTCATGGATATCCAAAGTATTTTGAAATTTAAGCGACCTTTGTACATGAATTTGTGGTTACCAATTGCTCTTGCTTCTCAAGCTTATTTTTTAAGCCAACTGATTGATTCTTTGATTCATCACCAATATTCTACTTTGCTTTTAGCCAATTGAGATTGTCTCACCTCGTGGTTGAATGGTCCAACAGATGAACTGTGGCCTCAGTCCCACAACCTTATACTTGGATAAGATATCTGACGCAAAGCACGCCTTAAAAAATTCTTTAAACATGTTTGGGTAACTTTGACTAAAAAAAAGTAGTCAAAACAAGGAACTTATTTTTTAACATTGACCAATAAAAAGATTGTTTGTTTTAAAACTCATTTACTTTTGTGAACACTATTTAAGTTTTGTCAATTGTGCTCACAATCGAATTAGAATCCTAGAACCCCTTGTATTTTCTTTGGGAGTCTCGATGTGAATAATTGCTGAAACATCAACAGAGGATGGAATTCAGGAATTTTAATATGCAAATTCACTTAATGTATTCCACAGTTGAATTGGAGTCTCATTTATTTATTTATTTGTTTTTGCCTTACACAGTATAGCCAATTGCTTGATGTAAATTTTTCTTTACTTTTGGGAAATGATTTCCTTAACAAGGAATTTTGCTGACAATAAGTTGCTTTTGTTGTTTTAAGGGAGGTCTTACTGCCACTGATGTTTTTGCCGTGGAGTGGATCCACACTGGGGCTATACACTTTGGGACAACAGTTACATACTTTGGTTTTGTTAGTGATGGTAACTCCATATCACTTTTTCTTCAACTGTTGTAGTTTCAAATTTTCATTGTGATAGTGTAGGCACTGATACGCACCACTTTCAATTCCAAAAAAAGATGTTCGAAGTTTGTTTCTGTTTATCTTTTATTTATTTGAAGTTCTCGAGTCAAGTTTTCGCTGAACTCTAAACTTTTATAGCATTCCTTGATACTTGCTTCGGATGCAGGACTGGCTTAGTTTGATGATTATAATTCTCATGATTGTGTAAGCTGGCTATTCTAGGAGTCACATGAAATTCAGATACAGTGAGCTTATAGGTGCTTGGCTCTTTGTCGCATGGGAAATGCGAATAACAGAAATTTCTGCATCTCCTCCTTGGATTGTAGGAACACAATATAAAACACGTTACATATTGTAAAACTTCTATAAAAAATAAATTATGATAAACACATTATTTATAACCACAAAATTAAATCATAGTCTAGCCAGTTTAAAAAGAAATTGCTACATGACTGCAAGCTATGTTACCTTTTCTTCTGCTTCATTGATATATCGTGAAGATAATAATACGTTGACCTTTTTCGATCTGTTGGTTTCAAACCATTTAGCTCAGTTTGATGCAGTTGTCTTTCCTCTTAATTCTTTCTCTTAAGTTATCGGACATTTAATCATGTGACCTAACTTTGATTGGGCTTGGATTGAACTCCATCTCTTTCTGCTAAGTGCAGTTTTGGAACTTTCTGAGAAACATCAGAAACGATTTGGTCCTTTACGTTACTTTGTTGCTGGTTTTCTCAAATTCTTGTGCTTGCCAAAGTATAGTTATGGAGTGGAATATCTTCCAGCCAGGACAGAAGCTGGAGAGGGTATAGTTTCGTCTGACCTCGAAGTTATTGACACGTCAGAGCTCTACACCGATATTATGAGAAGATCAAGCAAGGAAGGCCTTCCTCGTGCCTCTAGCCTATCAAGTATTGATTCAATAATGACCCCAAGTCGAATGTCTGAGGCAGGCATGGATACTACCTGTAGAAGTGCCGAACCATCCGCGTATGTGCGTGCCATAGATCCAAAGTCAAAACGTCTATCAGCCGGAAGAAGCAAATTGACTGCTGACCCAGAAGTTATCCATCCTCAGCTACCTCATACGGTTACTACAAGTATGGCCAGCACCAGGTCAAAATCTAGGCCAGATAAAGGACGAACCAGATTGACAGTCACCGTTGATCCCTATAGGTCCTCCTGGGGGAATACAGACAAAGAGGATATCTCATCAACAATGTCAGATCCTGGGCCAATTTGGGATGCTGAGCCCAGATGGGACACTGAGCCTAACTGGGATGTGGAAAATCCTATTGAATTGCCCGTGCAATCAGAGGACTCTGAAGCCACTGAAAAGAAGGAAACGATACAAAAATCTGAAGAGAATTGGGTTGTCACCAAAGGTCATCTTCTTGGTGTCTTGGTATGCAATCACTCGTGTAAAACTGTTCAAAGTTTGAGTTCTCAGGTGGTGGCCCCGAAGGCGGAATATGATGACAACACCTTGGATTTGTTGTTGGTCCGCGGAACCGGAAGGCTGAGGCTGTTGAGATTCTTCTTATGTCTGCAAATGGGTAGACACCTTTCACTGCCTTATGTTGAATATGTTAAGGTAAGAGCACTTGTCATAAATTTGGGACTCCACCCTGGCCCACCCCATTTTTTCTTTTAATGAACACCCAAAGCACACAAGCAAACACTCTCACAAATGGAAGCAAATGGAAAAATAAATGTGCTCGCACATTCTCCTGGTTATGAAGGAATCTGAGTGTCATACCTGTTTAGTCCTTGGCTAGGGAGAGTGCTGCAAACATTTCATTGGCATTGTAGAATTATTTTCAAAAGAACAGGTGCCCATCAACTTTGATCATGCAGTCTTACTGATGTTAGTCAAGTTCTGAAGTTATAAACAGAAACTTATTCTTGATAATCTACGTTTTTGCTTTACGAATATGATATTTTTGGGCATTTTTAATATTAAATCTTATTCCTATTTAGTCATTTTGTTTCTGGGAATAAATATTTTCACTGGGTAGGAGGATTATGTATTTACCTGTTTAAATTCCAGTCGATTAAACTGCCGCAACAAACTGATTTCTAATTAAAAAATCTGTAGTGTTAGGAGATTTTAATTGCAATGAGCTGGTGATGCAGGTCAAGTCAGTGAAGATTAAACCTGGAAAGCGCACACACAATGGCTGTGGCATTGATGGTGAACTTTTCCCTGTGAATGAGCAAGTGATGTGTTCATTACTTCCAGAACAGTGTAGGCTTATTGGCCGAGCACCTGGTTCTAACAAGTGACTGCTCTTGAAGGTTGGCGGGTGGTCAGAAGGTAATAGTGTATCTAGAGAATTCATTCCCCAAGTCCGGTAATCCTTCCTGCTATTGTCCCCCATTTTTTTTTTTTGACGAACTATTAGCTCTTTGTAAATTTTTGTTACTTCATTCTTTTAAAAATATTGTTTGTTGTGTTGTAGAATTTGTATCCATCTGCTGTTTTTGTATGGTGTGTAGTCCTACGGTTCCCTATTGACTGACAAGCTTGTATTACGGATCAAGAATTTATTGGGTTAGTGAGTTTCACGTTTTATTAACATGTTAATGAACGCGTTTGATTCATCTATTGGCTCGGCTCGGCACGGCTCATACGAAATAATTTGCTTCCAAACAAATGTAAGAATTCCCAACGAACCCCGAATTAATGTTAATATCTTAAATTGCAAAGTCAGGATTTAAAGAAAAAATGTCCTTTTTTTTTTTTAATTAATTTGTCATTCGCACTATATCGAAAAGAATGAGATGGGTATGACCTCGGCAGTTTTTTATGAAGTCACTATTATAAATTGAAATTTGGCCTACCTAATTTTTTTATTCCTGGTTAACGGGCCCCAATAACAAAATGAAATCACAAAGGGAGATGATAATAAAGCAGTGGAATTACATTACAATATTGAATCTTTCTTAAGCACACGTGCGTAGCTTATGCTAAGCACTCAAATAACATAACACATTACAATATGTGGTGAAAGATAATAGTTGGTTCCAAAACTGATTATACCATCTAATGTAATTAACGGCGTTGACAGTGTTTAGCATAAACTAACACCAGTTATGAGATCAATTTCGTATATTTATATATTTTATATTTTGTGGTGTATTTAATAATGAAAGATAAAAAAGAATATGATTGGACAATAAAGTGATTAATTTAAGTCAATTTACTTTACGATCATTCTGATGGATAGAAAAATGGTAAATATATTCACATCAAAATATTTGTTAATGTACAACAATTTAATTGCAATGAAGATCTTCAATGTTTATTTTCTTTTCTTCTTTTCCTTTTTTTTGTTATTGCACTTATGCCCCTAACTTTTTGGTTCTTATTCTCCCATTCTCTCTCCCGCACCCAATGTTGTAAAACTTGAAAACTTTGAGAAGGGTCGTTTTCATTTTTGTACATTTTATAGATAATTCAATGCATAGAGATTTAAAGTACTAAATTTAATTACTTTGTTTTGTTCTAATCTAGCTTCATTGTATTTTTCGCATCCAATTCTAGGGGTTAAATTCACTCGTTGCCACCCAATTTTATACTTTTGCCACCTCCCTCAACAACCTGACCTTAGGATTCGGTTTCCTATCCGGTTGGTGTTCCGACATCCTGAATCACCTCGCTCCCAGCGAAAGATCAAAAGCCAGGGTCTGAAAGAGTTCACGATCCAATTCATTCCCGTGTCATCGTGGTCATTCAATTTGATTTTGTTTCATCATTATTGTCAACTTTATATTTAGTGTCATCATGACCACCAAACTTGGCCACCTAACTTATTTAATCATAATCACCCAATTGGCCACCCAACTTATTTTCACTCTTTTTACTAATTTTAAAATGGGTAAAATAAGAACTTTGCATTCTATATATATATATATATAATAAATTGAAAAAAAATGGTAATTTAACTTTGCATGATGAAATAAAATCAAATTGGATGATGATTGTGAAACTAATTATAAAGTTAGATGATCATTGTGAAACAAAATCAAATTAAGTTATCAGGATGACACTAAGTTGTCACACCCCATTCATATAGATAACCATACACTAAATTCTATCAAAATTCCCTATTTTTTTAAAAATGAAAGTCTCTCCAAAGGTATATTCGAAACCAAAGATCATAAAATCATAGTCCACCACATTTATTCTGACATTATAAAAATATCTACATGTCGTTTCAAACGTCATACATGATTTCCAAAATATAAACTGAAGTCCCCAAAATAACCCTACAGGTCGTCATCCATGTACATCGAAATTCGGAATCCCGTAAAAACTCCACAGCTAGCTAGCCACACTTTCTATGAAGTTCCATGCTCACCAACAATGCAGGAACTACATAAGCTAATGTTTAGTAAGCAAAAGTCATGCATGTCATGAGTGTAGGTAATAATGGTATATGTCATCATGACATGCTAAAGTTGCATCATGTTTAAACATTCATCAAAGTCCACTTGAAATAATCTCTTTTGAAATCTTTCATTTCATTGGGCCCTTGACCCACCTACTATGTACCAGATAGAGCTCTGCACAATATCAATATCAATAATCAAATGGCCAATATGACAATGACACCGGCGAGTGGACCATCCCCTCGTGACCACTAGATGACCATCTCCTAATTGCCCCTATGATCACCCAAGAAATCTCCCACCAGGCAGTGCTAATAATCTTAATATCATGATAGCAAGGTCGAGTGGTCCACCCTCCCGTGATCAACAAATGCCCATCTCATATCTACCTTTGCAATCACCCAGGAAGTATCCCGCAATGCCAAAACATATCACATAAGCATATCTCATATACCTCGGTGCCCTAGTAGTGGTCAACAAAACATTTATGAGGAAAACTCAATTTGAAACCATGTTGTGCATTCAGGATGATGATGGTAACAATGCTTTTCATATAGCAGCTGATGCAGCAAAAAGGATACGTGAAAATCTTGATTGGATCATTTTTATGCTTAAATATCCGAATGCTGCAGTTGAGGTTAGAAATCAGGCAAGTTTTGTTTATCACTGCTCATTAGCTTTTAGTGTTAAATCTCTTCAGAAGTAACTTCGCTTGTTTCCTTTAGTACAAGTTCCATGATCAGCAATAATTGATGCTGAATAGGATATGTTTCTTTCCTGGTAATGCATTAGTGGCAAAACATTACGAGACTTCTTGGAGGCTCTTCCACGGGAATGGATTTCTGAAGACTTAATGGAGGTGCTGGTGGAGAAGGGAGTCCATTTATGATTTATCTCCGACCATGTGCGTTAAAGTCAATACAATGCTTTTCTGTTTTCATCACATTTTTGGTAAAATTATGTGCAGTATGTGTTTAATGTCATTATTGTGGCTAAAGAATTGTACGGTTAAATAAATATTGCTTAGATATCAAATTGGAGACTGGGTGATGTTTAGAAGAAGCATTATAGCACCAACATATGGGTGGCAAGGTGCAACATATAAGAGTGTTGGTTTCGTGCAAAGTGTCCAGGACAAGGACAATCTCACTCTGTCACTTTGCTCTGGAGAAGCTCAGGTACTGGCAAATGAAGTCATAAAGGTGATTCCACTTGACAAAGGACAGCATGTACAACTTAAGCCAGATGTCAAAGAGCCAAAGTACGTCCCATCTACTATCACAACATTATCTTTAGGCATACTTGTTTCTTATTAGATTAACATCGCTTTCATGATGTTATTCTGTCTCATCTTTGTTTTCATACTATTGGGTTTTTGTAACTTTGTTTTTTTACATCTTGTTCTGCTTTATGATGCAATCTACTTTATAATTGCATCACGATGCTGCTCTTGTAATTAATGTTTTCTTTAATTTTCCCTTCTCTCCATCCAGTCACTTTTCTTTCATGAGATGATCAATGCAATCATTTCAGGACATTTAAAATGAATAAATAGAACCATTTGCTTAGCTATAGGCCAAATCTATTTTTAATTACCCTGTTGAAAAGAGAACTAGATGCTGACGGAAAATGAAGACACAATTTAAATGTTCCTATACACATTACCTTACCAAAACACACTTAATTTGCCTTCATTATATCTCCTAATTTACTGAACCATCCTAAAGTGAGAATTAACTCAGAAATTTAGGACACCTGGACACACAAAAGGAACAGACTTCATGCGAAGGAAATTCTTGTGTCATAATGAGATATCGAAGTATGTCCTGTTCTTACATAGAAAATTGTTTTCGTCTTGCTGCATTTTGGTTTAAACATTATGGATTTTTGCTGCAAGCTTAAATTGTGTTCCTTTGAGAAAACCATGATGATACCAAGCATTCTTATATGTTACAATATGTTTTTATAGATTCGGTTGGCGTGGTTAATCGCGTGACAGCATTGGAATAGTTCTTTGTGTTGATGATGATGGAATTCTTCGTGTCGGTTTTCCTGGAGCATCCAGAGGATGGAAAGCTGATCCTGCAGAAATGGAAAGAGTTGAAGAATTCAAGGTTGGGGACTGGGTTCGCATGCGGCCCACTTTGACTACAGCTAAACACGGATTAGGATCTGTAACTCCAGGGAGCATCGGCGTGGTGTATTGTATTAGACCAGATAGTAGTCTGTTTTTGGAACTAAGTTATCTTCCAGATCAATGGCATTGTGAACCTGAGGAGGTTGAACATGTTGAGCCATTTAGGGTAAGGGCATTTACTTGGCATGAATGAGGTTAAATATTTCAAATTCTTATTCTTGTTATTTTTCCCCTTATTTTTACACTTTTGGTCTTCCTATCATATAATTTTGTGGCTTTTACAGATTGGTGATCGGGTTTGTGTAAAGCGCTCTGTTGCTGAGCCAAGATATGCTTGGGGTGGCGAAACACATCATAGCAGTGGAAGAATTAGTGAGATAGAGAATGATGGTCTGCTGATAATTAAAATTCCCAATCGACCTATTCCATGGCAGGCTGATCCTTCTGACATGGAAAAGGTGGAGGATTTCAAGGTATTATCAGCAGAATTTGTTTAAGTTCTATTTTGAAATATGAATATACTGGATGATACTATTCACTGTCAATGTTTTGTAAGTGTTATGCCCTAAGTTCAATCAACTTTGGACATAAACACTTTGAATATATATATATCCCTCTTCTATTAAAAGAGGGGATTTTGTGATTACTATTCATTCGAGACGTATTTCATCTCCCCATCTTACCCTCAAATTTTCTGTATATATCTCTCCTTCTCTCGCGAGCCGAGCACCATCTTCGTCGCCTGCGAGTACCAGGTATTGTGTTTTACAAATTGAACAAATTCCTTTCTCAGTCTCTCTGTATTTCTTTTATAGTGGGTAAATTTCTAGATCTCTCAATTCTTCAATAAAAGGTACGGTTTCTGAATTCATTACAGCCCTCTCTCTCTAACCCTAATTTCAGTTGCAACCCCATCTTCGTCGCCTGCGAGCTCCAGGTATTGTGTTTTACAAATTGAACAAATTCCTCTCTCGGTCTCTCTGTATTTCTTTTAGTGGGTAAATTTCTAGATCTCTCAATTCTTCAATAAAGGTAAGGTTTCTGAATTCAAAATTAATTTTGTATTTCTGGTCTTACTTTAATAGCTTCAGATCTTAAATATGAGTTTTTAGTTTTTGG